TCGGCCGAAAGCCCCCGAGGCGAGGGGCGGGCAGCGGGCGGGCGACCCCCGGGAGCCAGCCCTGCGCTCCGGGCCCGGACAGCAGAAGTGGAAGTCTCCGGGAGGAGGAAAAACTGGCATTTCTTCAATGTCTTGTTCGTCACCGGGGCGAATGTTGCGAAATCTCCCGGTCGTTAAGACCGGCAGTCAGCGAGCTCCAAAGTTGGCTCCTTGCAGTCTTTCGAGGTGGGAGAACTGGCTGCTGACACGGGGCCGTCCCCAGCTCAGCTGACCAGGGTTAATCCCGGCTTTGCACTGCACGAGATGTGAGGAGGCGACGCCTCTGCTGCCAGGCGGGATATCTTGGAAAGAGGAGCCCGTTTACTTGGGGCTTATCACCTGGCAGATAGTTAAAATTGCTTTTTTGGTTGGTGTGTTTTTTGTTTTGTTTTTGATGGGGATAATTTGAGGTAATTGGATTTTTTTGCTGGATATCTGGTAGCCAGAGACATGGAAAATAAGGGACTTCTCAAAGGTGTATTATTACACTTTTCACTTTGGTGAGAAGCACATCCTTACGCAGAGGCTAGAATCACTGCTTTTGTTTTTCATGTTGGTGTTTGGAAGTGGAGCCTTCCCTGGTAACAGAAGAAATTTTCTCCCTCTTTTCTTCTTCCTATCATATTTTCAGAGCCCTGAGGCTTCTAGATGTGTGCACCTTTATCCACCTTTGCTCTAGTTTACGTGTCGTGTTTGGTGGGACAAGTCTCAAGGGCTTTTTTGATTATAAATTTGACCAAACAAAGTGTGAAAGCCATGCTGAGCCCATGTGTTTTGTTTTGGGTTTGTTTGTTTTCTGCTGTTGATTTATAAGCTGTGAGCAGTTCAAAATAAAAGTTTAGCGTTCATATATTCATGGTTTTACTTACTAGCTCACCAAGAAAAGCAGTTTCTTAGGGCAAATAGGCAAATGGATTTTTCAAGGCCTAGCATGGAGGTTGTGTTATGTTCTGGAAACCAATTGGTATTTTACTCTGGAAAACTTGGAGTATTGGGTGATTCCCTTGCCACTGGGAAGATAAGAAGATCTTGCCATCTGCTTTGCTTATCGCTTATTTCAGTTTGTTTTGCTTTTCTATACTAAAACAACATTGAAAAACAAGGATGTCTAATTAAAAGTTTTACCAATAAATTTAATGTTTCGCCATGGGAGATGGAGCTAGAGGAGCTGAAAAACAGATGTGTTTCTTGAATGAGCCACTGTCAACGTAAATAAAATGTTGCCTTTTCTCTAGTTTCAGATAACCAGTCCTAAATCTCTTCCTTTGTAAGAGCCAACTTGTCCTGGGTAAATGATTTTCAGCATTAAGCAATTCCTTGTTTTCAAGTCTGCTAGTTCTGATCTGGGGCTTGAGGGCTAGGGAGTGGTGGGTTAATAATTGTCCCCAAGTTGGGAGCAGCACATCACAAAGATGAGGAAGGACCTTTTTCAAGAAGGGACGGGAAACAACACACACCACTGCAATTCATCAGCATGATCTGCTCGTGTTTCTGAAAGGTTAGAGAGAGAAACTTCCCGGTAGAAGTAGGTCTGAGAAGACTGAATGACTGAGCAGTGTTGGTGCCAGAAAACAGCAATGTCTTAGCCTTGAGGTCCTTCAGGCCACTTGCAGAACTATAAAATCCATGTAGCAAGTTTTGCTCTGGAGCAGATGAGGAACGTTTTCATGGAACAGTGTCTAGTGGCTCAGTAATAGTTAGCAAGTGTGCTCAAAGCAGCATAGTCTTGTTTTTGCAATGAGTGCTTGACAACAAGGCAATGAGTGCTTGACAACAAGTAATAACTATGTTGAGCTTGGAAATACAAAGCTTCATTTGGATCAAGCCTGGGCAATGTTTTGGAATGCATGTGGATACATGCTTTTTGTGCTTGGAGATGGGCTTCTTTAGATGCTAATTCATAGACTCGTAAAATAATTTAGATTAGAAGGGACATCTGTATATCATCTAGGTCAGCTTCCTGCTCAAAGCAAAGCTAGCTTCTAAGTTAGAAGGAATTACTCAACTCAAAATTTGGGGTTAGTGTATCCTCAGATGAGTATAAGCCATTCAGAGTAGATGAGCTCATTTTCAAAAAAAAAAAAAAGTTTAAAAGTTAATTGGAAATTGGAGCATTTTATTTTGAGCAAATTCAGCTTTATGCTTGAAGACTGTGTGCTGAGGCATGCTTGAAGGAGTGAATTACCGTTCCAAAGAATTTTCCATCCAACCATAACCAGACCATGTGTCTTTTATGTTGCCAATTAGTTCCATCACATGCTGGGATTTGTGGAGGAGCTAGTAATTCCCCTCGTCTCTCCTCACTTTTCAATGAGATGCTTTTAATCATGTGATCATCCTCCTATCGGCCCAGAAGGCTGCTCCTATCATCCCCAGAGGGATGGGGACAAATTCTGCCTTTTATATTTTACTACTCTCAGCACTAGTTCAAGTTTTAGAAGAAGTTCTTCCCTTAGAAGAAGAAATTTATGCCCTTCGTATGTAGGGGCACAAGTCCTTGAGCAGAGGGAAAAATTAAAATTCTTCTCCTGTCTCATCCTGAGCCTACCTGAAAATTGTCTAATCTCAGAGAGTGACTGTGAGCTTTAAAGAATATTTTTCATTAACATGTTCAAGCATACCAAGACCACCAGTTAATTTCGTAGTGCCCTGAAGAACTGTCAGATAAGTTAGACTAATAACTAGGAAAGGAATGCCTTGGTTTTCTATTCGCCTTTGAATAATAAAGGTTTTTACCTGACTTTATCGTTGTGATTATGCATGCTTTATAATTTAGTAACTGCAGTATTGATCTAGACAGCTTCAGAAAGAAATAAAAACTGTCTAATTATGTTAACTGGTGAGCCTTGAGGGGGCTCGTGGGTATGTAACATGCAATTAAATACTACCTCATTAAGAATTTCCCTGGTGTTGTGATGGTCTCTTGGGTAAATGCTATTTGCATGTCTCCATTCTTATCCAGGAACATCTTGTCTGATTAGCAGCTTCTGCCTGGTCTCCACGGTAAAATATGGGAGGAGGGGACATGGGGGAGAGTGGTGCATTTTGTAGGCTTTCATGAACAATTTTTTTAAAAATCATTATTAAAAATCTGCTTAAGCAATATTTGAAGTTGCAGCAAAATGTAGGCTACTCGGAGTGAATGCTCATCAGTTGTGCTAGGGTGTTACAGGAAAGCAAGAACGGTGTCTTATCATAAGATGTCTACATCGTGGTATCTTCGCAGAGCAGCTTGAGCCCCAGCAGATGCGTCACTCCTGTTCATTTCCTGGCTGCACTTCATTCATGTTACAGCTTCATTAACTCTCTCCTCAAGCAATTAGTTTTGTATTAAGTTAGAGCATGGAGAGAACTTTTGAGTCACCGAGTAAGTGCAGAAAGTCAGTAAATATTTATTTATTTTTTCCTAAGGGCTTAATTCTCCTCCCTGCATACAGCTTTCTTGGGCCAAACAATTTACCTGGCTCTACTTACAGATTTACCCCTTTTTTGAGTATGTGTGTGGGGAGAGGTTATGCTGAGGTTAATACTGCCTTGTTTTGGTGGTATTTTGTGAGATTGCCTGGGTAGTCGCACAGTGCCTGTGGGACTGACAATTTCCCACGGGAAAAGATCCCCTGTCTCCCCTTGATTGGGTAAGCGCTATGAGGGGAAGGTTGCAGGTTTTTGCAAGCACCCCTCTCATCCAAGTCATTTAACAAAATAGTTCAGTAAATGATGGTGCAGAAAAGACATTGTTTCCTGTCCTTAGTGTCATTTGACCACGTTCTCTCAAGTCTAACTTACTAGACTTGCTTTTATCTTAATACAGGCTATTGTTCGGCCTTTCTCACAGGCAGGGCAGTAGAAAAATATCTGTGTTTCTCTGGAGGCTTCACTGGGAATGGAGACGTGTGCTGTGCTGGATTGTGTTCTTTGCTTCCTTGCAGATGCCTTCAGGTCTGTTAGTAACTGCAGTGAAGTTGAGCTGCTGTTTTAACAGGCTTGAAGGAAGGAAAAGGAGATTTACTGAGGACTGGGTGAAATGACCAGGAGCTGCAGGCGTGGCTGTCCATGAACTTTCTGATGATGGGCCCCCAAATTGGACATGTATAAGCTGTGCTAAAATAGTGTAAATCAAATTGCCTGGCTTTCTGTACAAACTCTTCTGAAGTTCCAAAATCAATAACCCATTTAGGAAAGCCTAAATGGGCGCTGAATTAACTGTCAAGAGAAATGACAGCAATAATGAATGACTGCAGTGCAGCACCACGGGAAATACCAGCAGCAGAGGCAGGGGAAAAATGGTTTTGTGTCTTCACAGTTGCTAAACTAGCTTTCTGCACTGGTTTGTGGGTCCAGCGTAGCTCGCAAGGACATTCTTCTACTCTTCCCTTGGAAACAAAACAGTGTCATTGCACTTCAAGTCTTCCCTGGTTTTCACAGCTTCCTGACCGGTCTTCCTCTCTTTTTTTCACAGGCCATCATTCTGGTGCACTGGCTGCTCACAATGTGGTGAGTGATTGATAGCTGACCTGTCCTGGGTGAAAAGAGGGTGTTCCTTCAAACTAGGAATGGGACGTTCCTGTGGAGTCACCATTCCCTATGTGCCCTTCTCTGTATGCAAGGAGATCCTAAATCCAAGAGGGAGGTGTCTGCACAGGAGATGGGATTGAACACAAACAGACTGTTGCAGGCTTATTATGAAAAAGGACTGTTTCTGTCTTTGTGTGGCAGGGGGTGCATGGGTTACATCTTTCCAGCCTCGTATGCCTGGGGAAATTTCAGCGTATTTGCAGTGGGAATCTGGGCCATTGTGCAGCGAGATTCCCTTGATGCCATCATGATGGTGAGTACGAGGGTATTTGCCTCCATCAGAATGCTCAGGGAGAGGGTGGAGGGTGCAGACAGCTCCTTTGAATCAGTGACGATCCTCAGCTGTTGCTAGTACAGTAGTGGATAAGTCAGACTCCCCACCTTTATCAGGAAAGATTGTCTTTCACTAGGCATTGTAAACCATGATCAGAAGCACTCATTATTCCTTATTTTGCTCCTAGCAATGGGGCACATTGGATTCTTATTTTTTAACCTGCATTTGTGACTTGTAACGCTAACCAAGTGCTAAAAACATTTAGTATGATTGAGTTGGAGGGACTCTGAAACAAACTGGCCAGGAAAAATAGCCCTGGAACATACATGAAACAGTGTCTAACATGTGAAGGAAAGATACAAGATCATGCATTTAGGACTCTTCCACTCTGTCTTCCTTAGCCAGTGAGGGTAAGGAAGCCACCCTTCCTGGGGTGAGGGTATAGCTGTGCGAGCACAGATCTAGGAAATAGACCTTTTAACTGACTGTGATGTCTTCCTTATCAGTTCATGTGCTGTTCTCTGTTTGTTTTCAGTTCCTGTCCGGCCTGCTGCTCACAGTCCTCACAGACATCATTCACATCAGTGTCTTCTATCCCGCAAAGAACTCTCTCACAGACTTGAGGCGTTTTGCTGCAGGCATGGCCATCCTCAGCCTCCTCCTCAAACCCGTGTCCTGCTATTTTGTGTATCAGATGTACCGGGAGCGTGGAGGAGAGTACACATTTAACATAGGTACAACACTTTTCCTGCCTCCACATCAGTATGGATGGAGGTCTCTGGTGTCGGGGGATTACCTTGCACTTTGGACCCTTCAGGCTGAGCTCTGTGCAGCTGGATTCTGCCCTCCACACCTTACCAGAGAGGGGGTGGATTGTGCTCTTTCTCTTGCTAATGTCTGCTCTCCCATTTTGTGGTCCTCGTGTGTCTTAGGCCCTAAATTTATGTTCCTCCTCGCTTCCCTTGCAGACCTGGAGTCCTCGTCTGACAGCAATTTTGCCTGCAATGGTATTGATGTCACTGCTGTCTCTCTTACTCAATGCAGCTGAGAGGCGTTTGCCCTGTTTTTCCACTTACATTTGTGTGTACCTGTCAGGCGCCCTTTTCTCTTTGCCAATCTTTTGTTATTTTTTCCCCGCCTTTCTGGAGGAGAGTGAGGGCAGCATCCTTTCTAGCTGGATTATACATGAGGCCGGATTTCTAACTTCAGGCTTTCTCTGGGCCTCACATGTCCTAGGTACCTTAATTGTTTTCAACTTCGTTTTCCTCACCTCTCCTGTTCTGTACCAACAGCTGCATTTTGCTGTGGGTTGTGTTTGTTTCATTTTTTATTAGCTGCTCACTGTGCTTGTAAGGATAGGTATTGTTGAAGAGACAGTAATTTCCCCTTTGCATAGAGGTTGGAAGTATCCTTCTTTCCATCCACACTATCCCAAAATGGGCACAGTACTAGCTGAGAGTCTCTTCTTGGGCACTGGCTGAACTCAGTCACCTTTTACTACTGTCTTTCCTGCAACCTTTTCAGAACAAATTGTGCTGTAGTTTTGTGTTGAATGTGGTTGTCAAATTACCTTGCTAGCTTGTTTTTATACTATCTGGCACCCTCACTGTGAACTCAACTGTCTTGTCTTTTTCCTGGTCCTCTCAGCCTTGTCTTCTTTTACGCAAAATCTATTTCTGTTGCTTGGCAGCATCCTTGCTGCTTAGAACAGGGCCTTGTCACATGATTTGGGGCCCACCTTTGATTCAGATTGCTCCCTAATCGTGGCAGACACCTGTCCTAGAAAGAGGACTCTTTGCACTCTCTCTCGTCATCCCTTGCTCACTGTGGGGCAGTAACATGGTTTTGTACCACTGTTACACCCCAGGCAAATTGTTCGTAATGTAGCTGAGAGCACTGCTGGATTCAGATTTAATGCCCTGGTGTGGCGTATTTGAGGCATAGCTGGGTTGTCGGGAAGCATAGTCATGGATGAATCATGCTCTTAAATCCATGCTGTCAGCTAGCCATGGTTCCTGCTGCTTGTTTGTTGCAGGATATATCCTTTTCCACTACTTTTCGTATACTTTAATCTTGCTGAAATACGCTATTGCCACAGTCTGTCCGTTCCGCTGCTGTGTATCAGTTTGGGGATTGCTTTGTACACAGTCATATGGGAGAGCAGTTCTCAGCGAGTTAAATGCTCCTGTGATAAGGGGCATGTTCTAAAGCACCCCGATTCTTTTGTCTGTGCCTGGAGGATGAGTACTCTTACCTTCTGCCTGAGTAGTGAGGCTCACAGAACACCAATGCTGGGGAGCTGGGAGAGCAGCTAATGTGATGCGGTGCTGAGCTCTTGTTTTTTTTTCTAGGGGACTCGGTTCTTGTGCTTTTCCTTTTCTTTAGTTTTTATTTCTCAAGCTTATTCTTTTGTGTCTCCACTCAGGCCTTATCCGTGCAGGTCAGGACCGTAGCAGCTATGAGCAAATCGATCATCAGGATGCCTCGCCGCAGTGGCCTGACGCAAGCAAGTCACCCCAGCCGTCGTACTGAGGCCCTCGTCTGGACCTGCAAACAGCTGCTCCCTCGCCCAGTCCAGCCTTACCCTATTCCCATATCTCTTCTGATGGAGCAAGACCTGGTACTGGCCAAACAGGAGAGGATGTGATTTTACTTTCTCCTGCCTTCCTGAAGGTTAGGCAGATGCGTTCCTACAGAAGATCTCGGCAATGCCATGCGAAGTGCTGTGACTCTTTGCAACCGCAGTATACGGTCCTGTCTCCCTCCCCCTAAATCTCTTCTCTGTCTGTGTGAGTGGAAGCGCTTTCCACATTCTGCCATGTCTTGTACTGGGTGTGCCCTTCCTTGTAAGTGAGGGAGTCATTCAAAATATTGCCAGATAAGCTGACTTTAAAAGACTCATGGTCTGCCTTCAAAAAACACAGGAGTTTAACCTGCTTTTATGAAGAATGCACCTCCAGGAAACATCTCGGAGTTCTGGAGAACTGGTTTTGACCATATTATTTGACTAAGCTTTATGCTGAGAAATCCCCATGCTAACTGGTGGTTTGCACGCAGCTGCGGGTGGTGTAGAATACTCTTACTGGGCCAGGAAGTTGCTTGTGCTTCCAGTACCTTGTGTGCCTCCAGTGCCTTCCAGGTTTATTCACTGTTGCTTAGATGGAAAATGACTATTTCTCAGGATGTTAGGATGTTCTTAAAATGACTGTTAAATTTAGGTTGCAGATACTGTGCCTTGAAATGTCTTCTTGCCTTCAGCTGCCTATCTTAACAGAACTTGAAATGTTACATTTTTCTAAGAAAACTATAAAGTGAACACAGTTCTTATGTGACCAGTGATCTTTTTTCAAAACACAGATCTCATTTGAAAATGTTGATAATTTCTGATGAGTCACGACTATAGCTGGGGAGTCTGGGAGAGTCATTACAGGAGGAGGTCTACAGGGTTTCAATGGGTTTTAGTTTAAGCTTTAGTCAGAAAACTAGAGGGTCCTGCATAGCAGAGCATGGGCAGTGAAGGTGGACTAGTAAATTAAGATTGTTAAAATGAAAAGCTGTCCCAAGAGGTTTCCTTAGAAGAAAAAGAGCATGTGAACATTGGCAGAGTAAAAACACTAGTGCAGGGAAGATGTATCTTTCTTTTCTAAACTAGGTTGACATTTAAATTATACATCTGTTATACTACAGTTGCATTTCCCTGACAAGACTGCTTCTTCATTAACTCTTCAGTGACCATGAGTCCCTATTAACTTTGCTCTAAGCTCTAAAACCACGATATTTGTATGTTGAAAAACAACCATTTCTCTCCCACACTGAGTTTTGTACATTAAACATGAAAAGGTCCTTTTACCACTACACAAGCAGTGCAATGATCTTTTGCTCTGCTGCTGTACCTGGA